ATATCAGTTGGTCTCACATAGGGAATGTGAAGAAAGTAGTAAGCTGATAAAGTATTCAATCATCTAGCAGAAATAAAAGCTGGAAACTTCGAGACAATGGCAAAGGCACTAAAATTTAGCACTCAAAACTTAATTAACCATTCTGCTACACCAGGAAAAATGGATAACTATAAGCTTGTACATAGTTTTATTTGGAGACAAAAAGGGCAATGCTTCAACCATCACATAGTTTGTGAGCATCACCATACATTTCTTTCAATGCATACCGTGGATAATCTGAAAGGACAAAATTTGGGCTTCCCTCTTCTGCCAGACATCAAAAGATGAGCACCCTTCTTTAATGCAACAATTGCCTGTGCAAGGCAGTGAATGATGTAAGAAATAAATTTTATTATTATTTTTTTTTATTAAAGGTATATCACTACCTGTTATAGCAGTAAATAGTAGGAAAAAAAAATGAAAATCAATTTGGTTGCTTGAAACATGATGTTCTGTAATTTTAAACTAAATGACATCGGCAATTTGGTTGTTCGAATCGTGAATATGAAAAACTAAATAAACTTATGTACGACCTTCTGTCAATTCGGCAATTGAGACTAAGTCTATGCAAACCTGGCAGACGAAAATGCGAAAAAGATCATAGTAACAGCATTAAGTGAATCTCATCTCAAAAATAAAGAGAAAAACAAAAATTACAAAAAGAAAGACGGGAAATCTATTATCAGAAAATCGCTTAGGAATTAAATTTCATGCAAAACCCTGTTCAATATGAATTTACCAATAAGAGCTCACGTATCAATTTTAAGATGTTCAGATAAAATACTTAGATTATGTTAATGTTTAAATCTCTTGATGCGGATTTTTATTTTTTAATTCTTAAAAAAATTACTGATCCGAACTTGTAATATTTACAAATTCCAGAATCCAAAGTTCAATTCCATGACATCAATACAGAATAATATACCTCTAAATCTCTGTGTTTCCTGCTTTAACTTGGAGAGAGCACCAAGTAAACAAAAACTCTCAACTAATTAAGAGAGAAATATTGAAAATAATTAAATTTAATTCAAACTTAGAACATTTTACTAGTCTTTTTAAGACAAATTGCACGCCCTCATTAGCATGTGGTCGTCAAGTTGTTGTTTTTCTTTTTTTTTTTTCAGACAAGAAAATGTTCTCCCTCAGTCCCACTCAACTGAATTCTCCATGAAATTCGACACAAAAAAATGACAAGTTTAATGTCTCCCAAAGAGCCAAAATTCCTCAATAAAGGGCTCAAAGAATGTCTATGAATAAATCATCACATTACTTTAAATTACATAATAATAATAATAATAATAATAATAATAATAATAATAATAATAATATTAATAATAATAATGAATTTTGTAAACTACGCGGGGGCTAAGAGGAAAACCTGTTCAACTGCTCTATCAGAGCCAGAGGTTCCTAATGCGAACAATTCTTCGCTCATTTTCCGGAAATTATCAGGCAAGTAGGCGAACACGATGTATATATTATCCCAAGAAGAGAGAGAGGGGTGGGGGTTTAAGAAGAGAAGAGAATGTGTGAAAACAAAGAATGCAGCAAAGAGTGGAATTTCAAAGCTTACAATCTACAGTGCAGCAAAGAAGAAAGAGAATTGATTGATATTCTTTCCTTTTTTCTCTCCTTTCTTTTCTTGTTAGGGATTCTCTATTCTTCCATCATCACTTCACCAGTGTTGTGTTGGCTTCGTGGATCGTGCAGAGACGGAGAGAGATTTGTAATCAAGTTAATGGAACACAATCGCGTCGCACGTGTTCAGCATAATACATTTATGTACTTTATTATAGGAAATCTAATCACACATGATTATTATGTCATTTTCAATACCTTAGTTGGAGTTGGATGTTTCTTTTTGTTCCTTTTCATACTCAAATGAAATTGGATATGTATGTAATGTGGATATCAACTTGATCCATTTCGATTCAATTAGTTTGATCTTTTTGTGAAAGTTAAGTCAAAAAAGAGAGTAATGCTATTTTGGTATAAATGAAATTTTAGTAGAATAAAGCTACTTGTTCACGGTTAAAAATAGGAAGTGAAGAGACAAACTGATGTGTTAAAAAATGATTAGATGTTTTAGTTTTAATTTTTTAAATTGTTCAATCATATATCGACACATGTCCTATCTGAATTTGAGTCTAAATATGTAGCATAATTGAATTTAGTATTCGTCTATATGACAATGCACTTATTGACATGATTTTATTTTATAGGATAAGATGTCAGTGGTTTTCTAATCAAATAGATTGGTGATGAGTACTATTTTGTAATATGTTGCATTATTCATTCGAGTCAAGTATTAATTAGAATTTTGTCAATATATATTATTATTTATCATTAGTTGTTATCATCACCTATTTAAATGTCGATGAGCTTTTGATTTCTTGTCAAATAGAGTTGTAATTCATTATCAAATAGATCAACGAGAATTTAGATAACACAATTCTCAAAGTTTTGACCACATTATCACACGCATATTCTATTTGCAGGAGTTTTCAGAACGCTCTAAACATATACGCGCATTTTAAAATACTGTTTAGAACTAGTTCAATCTTAGCCAGAATTGAACTAAATTTGCATATTGTTACATATAAGAATACTGTTTAGAATTAGTTCAATTCTAGTAGTTTCATGAAAAATACCCCCTTGTATGATAATCAAACAAAAATTAAATATTATTAAGAAATTTAAGAAATAAAACATAATAAATAGTTCCTTATAGCTTTTGTTTATTCTCTTTTTAAGTTGGAATGTACGGAGATCAAATGATATCATTCAACTTTCTTTTTGTGTGGGGACTAATTTGCTAATGAAAAGGAGACACAAGTTACTTACAATTGAAAGGCACGTGCGATTGAGGCAGTAACTAATGAAAATGGATGTTAGATTCTAGCAGGTAAAAGTCATGATTATCATTTTTTTTAGAGTAATTACAATATTGGTCTTCAACTTATTACCTCTGTAACAAGTTAATCTTAACTTTCAAAGAAAACAAATTAATCCCCAATATTTTATTATAACTGCAAAATCAGTTTCCAATAATAGAAATAATCCAGATCTCTAGTAAAACGTCAACTAGCCAGTCATCTCCAAATTTTTGAAGCTATTTTTTTTTTTTTTTATCATGCTACACTTATAAACTTTTTTTACAAAATCATTTACTCACTACTCACAATAGAAGGTGAGAATCACAGGCCGACGTTTTTTAAATTCACGTGGGAGTCATTTGTTTGTGAGAGTAAGTAACCCATTTTGTACACATTTGCTTGTACATATATATTTATCCTTTTTTGTTTCTTATTTCAGCTAATGTCCATAAATTTGCAACAATTTAACAGACAATTTTTTTCCAACTTTTGGAACTTATAATGAAATATTGAAAATCAACTTGTCATTATATCGACAGGTTAAGAGCCAACTGTCTAATTTTCTCCATTTTTAGACTCAAGTAACTGGTCTATCATTTATATCAATTCTCGTATTTCTAGTATGTTAAACAAGTTAATTTGAACATAGTCGAACAAGAGTAAAGGATAAACGTTAGTTAAGAACAATATGAGATGGTATAGACAAGTTCATGCATATAAGGATTTTAGTATTTTTGTTTTAGTTAAAAATTAAGATATTTTTTCACTCTTTTGTCGTTTTTTACGAGAATTTTTTCTAATGCTTTACGACATATTTTTTTCACATAATACTGGTTTTGGACAGATAATATGTATCTGTCTTTAGCTCTGTATTGTCGTATGACATGAAAGGAATGGACTAACATCTTGATTAAGAACTAATCTCAATAATTCAACACAAAATCACAAATTTAAGTTGGCTATTAAACAAAAACTAAATTTCATTGCTTTGTAGGACCCTTAAATCTCAGCAAAGCTAAATTATAGGACCCCCAAATTATTTGGCACTTTAATTTACTATGTATATTCTTGAAAAATCCCTTGCCTAAGGTCCAAAAGTTTTTTCATTATATGCAAACGTGTAGTGCTAATTATTTATTTAAGGGAAAGTGAAAGGATCTTTAACAGAAAAAAGCTTATTTCACACTTTTTCATAGTTATGGTGGTTAAGTTACTATACTTTCCCATGGGTAAAAAAGTAAGAATTCATGCCTTCAAATTATTTTATGAATATAAAAATCTAATTTACCTCAAACTGTATAGACTTGAATATTTTCCAAGATTTGTTGTCGCCTTCTTGCTTGTGAACGTCATTCCGATATCAAGGGGTCAAGAAATTCTATTTGTTGAACTCAAAAATTCATTTCAATAATGGGTTGTCCCTTTAGAGTTAAGGGTTCATACGTAAACTCATGTGTTACACTTCTTGAATTACACCTTTCGATCTGATTCGATTCGTAAATTTTTTATCGCATCATTTTGAACTAATCTTTAGAAAAATGAAGTTCGACTATCTTTTCAGTTTGTTTTTAACATAGCCCGCATGTGTAAGGTCATCATGCCAAAGTCAATGCCAAACCTAGAGCCTAGATCGATAACTTTGCTCTCTATTATACCCTAATTTGCACTTGAACCTTGGTCCATTTCTTAAACATTTGTTGCTTTTTGACTCGTTTCATCTTAGAATTTACTTTGCCAAGTTTGAGGAAATTTTGGCATGATTGGTGCTACTTATTTATTTCCATTGAATTAAAAAATAAAAAAAAAACAAGAAGGAAATAATAGAACATTGTGTAATAGCAAATATGAAGGCTATTCCTCAAGACTGCAGCAACAGTTATTGTACTAGCTCATAAATAACTGGCAGAATAAATTTTTAGTATCAGCCATAAATTAGTTCTGCAATACATTGTTAATCACCAAGTAGCCTTACCATACTCCTATTTAGTTCTTCTTAGACGCCCCCTTTAGAACATATCAATTTTTATACCCAAAGATAAGTCCATTTTATGCGTGCATACACTTAGCAGTGAATAATCGAGTCAGTCAAGTAACAGTGGACAAGCACTCTTTCCTTGTCCTAGACATCTTCACGAAAATGTAATCAAAGAACAGATAAGATAGCCTGTGCTTTAGGATCTTGTCTGCGACCATTTCTATATTAGACCACTGCACTCACATCGATCTTCATCTCCTATGCATATAAGTATCGCTAGGAAAATTCAGGTTCTCATACAGCAATATTAGTATGTAATTGCTTAGTTCTTCCTTGAATTCAAATGTTGATGTGATGCTTATGTATTATAAAAAGAAAGGGCATGGCCTAAAATTTGAAAGGACGTGTTAATCAATACTCACTAATTAAGTCAGAATGGGAAAACGATAACATTATTGCAACTCAGTTTGCTTATGGTGCTTGTACTGAAGTTAATAGTTTGGAATCTTAGTCACTAGAATTCATTTCCCTTCTCCTTGGAGCACATATTAGAGATAAAAGGATCTTTTATGCTAATACAGTATTTTACTAAACAAAATTTACTATCTTCTACAACACTAAATCAGAGGTTTGGCAGAATGCCAGTTTCCTCCCAGGCAAGAAATATGTTCAATTGTACATGCGTACATAAAACAGCAGGGACTATTTATAGAGATATTTCACTTAAAGGCTAAAGCTTTAATTTCAATTAACAAAAACTCGTCACGTAATCAGACTACAAAATTTTTGGTAAAGTACCTGAGTTTTAAGGTTTTCGATTTCTTTAATGAAGAACTTCTCCGATTGAGACAAGTTATTCTCCACATTCATTGAACTGGATGTGGAAGATATTAATTGTGAGGAGTCATCCGCTAAGCAAACTGGAGATTGAGAAGATAATTGATGTCTTGAAGGATAAATTTGGGTAATCATGTGGTCCCCAGATCTTTTCTTGAAAACTTCAGGACATGAAACTTGCCTCCATCTGGGTAACTCATTCACCAAAGAAATGGTGTTACTGAAATTTTTCCTCTCATGGCATTGGCTGCCCTCATCAGAATAGTTTCTTGCTGATGTCGTCTGGCATAATGCTTCTTTCTTGTCGTGGTATGCCTTCTCAGACGTAAATAATGGTCTTGGGCTGTTTGTTCCAAACTTGAAATGACTACCTGGATCTAAAGCTCTGCAAATCTGATTAAAGCATTGATGACAGACTCGAAACGGCTTGTTCCTACTTGGTGCAAGGGACGCATTCATAGATTTTTTGTTGGTGCATGCTCGACAGAATAAAAGACCACAATTGTAACAGTTATGCTTCTTCCTTGTGAACCCAAAAGCCATGCTGCATCCTTTGCAAGCCAACTGGTCAGTACTAGATACTGATTTGTGTAAGCAAATTGCAGCTGTAGAACTTGCTCCACATGTAATATGTTCTACTTGTCTTCCTCTCAGGGTCTCGACTAGAGTTGGCGAATTTCGATCTTTGATATCACCCAATCCTAACTGTCCGTGTTCACCTTTTCCCCAAGTATAAACGTTTCCTCGAGATGTTAAGGCAGCAATATGATAAGATCCTGATGAGATTTCTCTGACAAACTCGTTAGCAAGTTTCCCTTGTACAGCTACTATTGACTTGTCCCTGGATTGTGGATTCCCGAGTTGGCCATGTGCTGCACTTCCCATTGTATAAACTTTACCAGTGCTGGTTAATCCTATGGTAAGAGTCCGACCACAAGATACTTGAACAAAATCATGATCCACCAATTCTGCTATACAAGTTGGGCAGAGTTTTCTCTCTTGATCAAAGTGACCGAGCCTTCCTTTATCAGCATCTCCCCATGTAAACAATTTTCCACTAGGATTATTAAATTTGATAGGATCAACCATGATTTCCACTATGGCAGCTGTGTGCCACGATCCGCATGCTATGGTCATTACCCGTAGTCCCTTCAGCGATTCAACTTCCTTAGGGTGTGACACACTCTGAAGATTGCCATGGCCAAGTACTCCAAATGTTCCATCTCCATATGTAAATAATTTCCCAGATGTGGAAATAATTGCTGTATGCCATTCTCCACAAGCAACATGAGATATTGTTAGACCATCAAGTGAACCATAAAGTCTATGAGGCACCCAAAGGCTTCTCTTATTATGTTCATCCGCTAAATCAGTACTACAGTTGTCGCCCCACGTGTACACTTCACCTGAAGATGTTAAAGCACATGTTTGATACTCACCACAAGCAACAGAATTGACATGAACTCCAACAAGGGAGTCAACAACCTTTGGGCAGGTAATATCAATATCAACTTTATGTCCGAGTCTTCCCCTCCTTCCTTCGCCCCAGCAAAATACTTCGCCCTGCTTGGTTACTAATGCAGCATGCTTCCTTCCTAGAGATATGGAATGGAGATCAAACATCATGGTCGATTCGAGAACTTTAGGCAATAAAGCATCCAATTCCATTCCTCCACCCTCCAAACTCCCTTTTCCTGCTCCTTCCCCCCAAATTAAGACATCCCTCAATATATGGTTTCCAGATTCAAATGACACAGGAGGATTTGTCGAGAACAGATTAAACATTTTTGAACTGGCACACATTGCTTGCTCATTTGGATCTTCTTGCTGAAGATATGGAGAACTTGGGGCTAAGAAATCCGTGGTATTGTGAATGCTTAATAGAATTGATTCTGAATAGAAACTATTGGATGAGCATGATAAACCATCAGAAGTACATCTAGCTGATAATGACTGAGGTGGACTCCCAGATAAACTGTGTACCTAAATCATCAAAGAAGTAGAGTTAAAAAGTTGTTTTCCAACTCAAGGGAGTTGGAGGGGGAAAAAAGTAAGAATATTATGCAAAAGTGATTAAATAATCGAGAAGCATAATGGCATGTATAGAAATTTCAAACCTAAATTTTACTTGCAATGAAGTAAATGGGTGATTTATTTTAATGCATACCATAATATTCTTAAGTTTTCTGAAGAATTATAGGGGAAAAGGACAGTTTTGCTTCTTATAGTATTAGTCGGAAATAAAGATTGTCTAAGACTTCTTGGCCAGGTCTACAGAAAGTTGGCCCTCAATATAATTTTCGACAGGCAAAGTATGTTGAGAATACTATCATAAAAAGCACTTCATGCAACTGTCAAAATCAAAATGTCATTTTCTTCAGCTATCAAAGATTTACTTCTGTCATTACACCTCTTACTAATTGGACATTGCCTATATATTTAAGATATATTTCTCAATATACTCGGCCAGGTCTCTATGGAAAAGCCTCATTTACATTCGAGCACATTTCTACAAACTAAACTTATTCTGTTCAACTAATGAAACCATTTCTTTATATTCTATTGTTTTATGGACAGGTGAACGTGAATTGATAATTCCATCAACAAAAAGAAAATATGGTAAGAACAACCTGAGATGATCTAATTTTCTCCTCCAAAAGTCCTAAGATCTGTTTCCTTCTCATAAAACCAGATGGACTGTTTATACAACTTTGGACCCCTCTTCGTTTCTTCAAAGTACTCCACAATCCATTACAATAACTCCTGGATGTTACAGCTCTCAAACCCAAAAACCAAGTCTTAGCCTGCTCTTTGTCCCTGAATATCTACATAAAGATAAAAGAGATGCATGAAAAAAGTTCCGAAGTTGAAGAGAAAATTTAATTACACATGGATGACACTATCTTTTTCTGATTACCAGATCGAGGGTGCATTCACCATTTCCATAGACAAGTGAAAGGCACTGGCTTTCCCTCTCTGGTCGAAGTTGCTTCTTTATTTTAAAAAAAAAAAAAAAGAAAAAAAACGAAGAAGAAACGTTTGGATATAAAATATATCATATAACATCATACAAGTCATGATAAAATGATTTCGTAAACTTACAGTGGTTTGGCCATGTACAACATTTGTGACTGAGCTTAATCTCATCTGTCTTTCCTCCTGACCAGAATACCAAATCAAGAATTTTTCATCCTGAAAATCAAGAATTTGAAGTGAGGCATGGTCCCATTTGAACATGCAGAAATCAGAAAATCACAGCTAAGAGTTGTTGGAACACCGAAAGGTTAGCAAATTAGAGATTTTCTGCGAACACCAGTCATCGTGTTGTGCAGATACTTCTTGATTACACTCCATTATTTATAATATACGACTCTACATTTACATGGACAAGAAATGTAAGTATCATCTCCTGTAATTTCCAATAAATATTTAAATCACAGTCTATAATGCAATTTCCCTTTTTACAGCAAACATGGAAAATTTATGCAATGTAGATTACCATATTCTTTCTCCTTCTGTTATTACTTTGTATGCATATCGACATTAATGGAAATTCATTTTCCCTAGCACCATACTTTTCCATAAATGAATAGGTTTACTTTTCTCCATCAGCTTAAAAGAGAATCACATTATTTCCTTGATTTAGGATATCTTCTTGTTCCACAGATTCAAATTCTTAGCGAGATTAGTTTGCAGAGCTATCACATGTTTCATTACAGAACTAAACTACAGAAATTTTGTTACGTCTAATTTGCGTAAATCCTTTCAAAACACCTTATTGGACTATAACCTACCCGATCTCCCATTTCTCCTTTACCAAGAGCACAATGATTGACACATCCATCATCTTA